AATAGTTTGATGAGCTCTTTCAACTATGCCTTGTCCCTATGGATTGTATGGGATTCCTGTTATATGAGTAATGCCAAATGATGAGCAAAATTGTTTAAAAGAGGTAGAAATATAGCCAGGGCCATTATCTGTTTTTAACTGTTTTGGAACACCCACAGTGGCAAAATTTTGTAAGCAATGAGCTATAATATCTTTAGTTTTTTTCTCCGGCATGAAGGGAGCCCAACAAAAATCCGGAAGAAGTATCAACTGTAACATGCAAATATTTTAATTTTCCAAATTCTGGCAAGTATGTGACGTCCATCTGCCAAATATGGTTAGGTACCAGTCCTCTAGGATTGACTCCAAGATTAACTTGTGGTAAAAAGATCACACAATTTTGACATTGTTTTATTATGTGTCTAGCTTGTTCCTTAGTAAACACTTTTTTAAAGTATTTGCATTGACATGGAAGGATTTATGAAAATTTGTAGCTTCTTCTAGCGTAGAAAAAATATGTATGTCATGTGTAGTTTTATCTGCTAAATCATTGCCCAAATTAAGGGCTCCAGGCAATCCTGTATGTGCCCTGATATGTCCTATAAAGAATGAATCTTTTCTGTCCCAGATTAGACTTTGTATAGTGGAAAGCAAAGAGAAAACAGTAGAGGAAGGGGAAATCCTACCAGCATCTTCAAGGGATACTATAGCATTAACTATATACTGACTATCGGAAAATAAATTAAATACAGAATCTTTAAACATCACAAAAGCTTGTAATACTGCATTAAGCTCTACCTTTTGACCTGATTGTTTGGGTACTAAAAATGTAAAAGTTTGATCAGGAGTAACTACTGCTGCTGTACCATTATTTGACCCATCAGTGAATATATCTGGAGAATTCATGATAGGTGTTTTTCTTGTCATTTTTGGAAAAACTACAGGATGCGAAGACCAAAAAGACAACAAAGGATTAGATGGTAAGTGGTTATCAAATGAAACATTAGATTTGCACATGATTATTGCCCAAGTATTTAACTCATTAGCTAACTCATCAATTTGATCCATTGTATATGTAGTAATAATTTTATTGGGAGAAATTCCAAACACTCCCTTTGCTGCTTTTATTCCTTTGAGTATTAATTGTCCTATAGCCTCAGGATACCTAGTAAGAATAGTGTTAGAAGAATAAGATAAATGTATCCATAATAATGGACCTTCTTGCCAAAATACTCCTGTAGGAATATTTTTTGTTGGTAGTACAATAAATAATAAAGGCAAACTTATATCAATTCTATCCAAATGCATATTTTCCATATATGTTTCAATGATTTTTAATGTCTTTCTTGCTTCAGGCGTTAATATGTGGGGTGAATTTGGATCTGATGCACCTTTTAGGATATCAAATAAAGGTCCCAACTCTCCTGTTGGTATGCCTAGATAAGGCCTTATCCAATTTATGTCTCCTAATAACTTTTGAAAGTCATTAAGTGATTTGAGTTGATCTACTCGTATTTGAATTTTTGGTGGATGGACCATGGTCAAGGATAACAGAACTCCTAAATAATTAATTGGAAAATTTAATTGTACTTTATCTATTGCTATCTCTAGATTATAATTTTTTAATAAATTTGTAAGTATGGCATAACATTCTAGCAATGTGTTTTTATCTTTGTGTGCCAATAATACATCGTCCATATAGTGAAATATTTGTAGTTCAGGATTTTGATTTCTAAGTGGCTGGATTGCTTTGTTAACATAAATTTGACACATAGTTGGGCTGTTAGCCATCCCTTAAGGGAGTACTTTCCATTCATATCTCTGATCGGGACCTTCATGATTCAGCACAGGGATAGTAAATGCAAAACGTGCACTATCCTCAGGATGAACTGGAATTGGAAAAAAAAAACAATCTTTAATATCTATAACTAAAACATACCAGGTTTTTGGCAAAGCAGACAACTGGGGAATCCCCGATTGAGCAGATCCCATAATAACCATCTCATTATTAATGGCTCTTAAATCTTGCAATAATCTCCATTTACCAGATTTCTTTTTGATGACAAAAATGGGAGTATTATGGGGAGATACAGAAGGTTGTATATGTCCCTCCGCTAATTGTTGTTTGACCAGGTCATGGGCTGCTTGTATCTTTTCTTTAGTCAGGGGCCACTGAGGAACCCATACTGGCCTTTCTGATTTCCAAGTAATTTTTATTGTCTCAGTGACCCCTCCTGAAAACCCAATCCATGTCTATCTGTTTTTTGATCTATTTGTATTGGTGCCACTATACCTTGTCCTTGTTCTCCTAATCCTTTTTCTTTCTTAAAACCTTGTCTAGCCATAATAGTGGGCACATTTGAATTGATGTTATTTGTTAATGTCAGACCTAATTGATCTAGAACATCTCGTCCCCATAAATTTATAGGAAGATGATCCAATACATATGGCTGTATAGTTCCTTCACATCCTTCAGGATCCTTCCAATCTAATACCATCGCACTTCTATGGGGATTAGTTTCCACTCCTAGGCCTCAAAGCGTTTGAGTGGCTTGTTGTAAAGGCCAATGTTTTGGCCATTCTTGACAAGGAATAATGCTAAGGTCTGCACCTGTATCCAGTAGCCCATTAAATTCTTGTCCTTGAATATTTAGTTTTAGCATTGGGCGAGAGCCTAAATTTAAAGAAAACATAGCCCAATCTACACCTGTGGAGCCTAATCGCCTGGAACCTCTTTCTATAGTACGACTGGAAAATTTATCATGTAGGCTGGGTATTATTAATAACTGTGCTATTCTATCTCCTGGTGAAATTACTGATATACCCCTTGGAGAACTGGCTATAATTTTTATTTCACCTTCATAATTGGGATCTATTACCCCAGGACTTAATCATAAGTCCTTTTAGAGTAGAAGAACTGCGTCCCAATAATAAGCCTACTGTTCTTTGGGGAGGAGGCCCTTTTACCCCTGTGGGAATGATTTGAACTCCCATCTCTAGAGTTAGTACTGCTCTGGCAGAGGCGCAGATGTCCAATCCTGTGCTCCCTCTGGTTTGTCTAGGGAGGGATCTAATGGATAATATGTCCTGGGCACTACCCTGATGGTGTTGCTGGGTTCCTCCAGTGCCCTGTATATTTGTGGTCATGGGCCCCAGAGCATGGGGCCCCCCTGTCCATTTTTTGGCAATGGAGCCCAATGTTTTTCTCCACGATATCATGGGTAAACACCTGGTCCTTGTCCGTTTTTTGATAACGGAGTACCCTCTATGGTGGTTTGAGAATGGCATTCATTAGCTCAATGTCTCCCTCTATGGCATCATGGGCAAATACCCGGTATTCTACCCCTTTGATACCTAGTTTTGTTAAACCCTCCTCCTATGGGGCAACTCCTTTTAAAATGTCCTGTTTGTTCATGATTGTAGCATGGTTTTGGCCTGGCACCTAAAGCCTGTTGTACTGCAGCTGCCAAGACTTGCCCTTGATCATTAATGTCTCTACATAATTTAATATATGTGTTTAAATCTCCATGTTTCCATGGTCTAATGGCCTCCCTGCACCATCTATTTGCTTGTTCGTAGGCTAGTTGCTTTATTAATGGCATCGTTTGTTTTGTATCCCCAAAGATTCTGGTAGCTGTTTGTATAAGCCTATCTATAAATTCAGCGTAAGGTTCATTAGCTCCTTGTATTACCTTAGATAATTGACCTTGTAAGTCTCCGTGTCCTTGTAAAGTCTTCCATGCCCTAACCGCATCTGCAGCAATTTGTGAGTATATGGTAGGATCATATCCAATTTGTTGCTGCTGAACCTCATAAGGTCCCTTTCCTAACAGCATATCTAGATTTCTCTGAGGATAACCGGAAGCTGCATTTCGCCTAGCCGTCTCCGTGCAAAATTCCTGATTCGCAACCTTCCATAACAGATATTGTCCTCCATTTAGCACAACTTTGCACATACTAGTCCAATCTGCTGACATCATGTTCAAGTTGGTAATGGATTCGACCATACTTACAGTGAAGGGTGCTTGAGGACCATAGGTTGTTACAGCCTCTTTTAGTTGCTTCACTGTTTTGAAATCTAAAGCATGATGAATTTGCTGCCCTCCTGCCATCTCAAATACAGGGCATGCTAATCTTTGAGGTCCTGTCTCAGGATCCCATCTATCAACTACGGGGTCGAAGGCCACTCAGCATATGTTGTCTCCATAGGCGGAGCTGTTGGCTGGACACCCATGCCCCCCGGTGACAGAAAGGGGTTAGTAGCAACCTCCCGTTGTAATTTCTCCCCTGATAGCCCTTCCTCCTCTAAACTTTTTTGCTTTGTCTGACTAACTCAAGAGACTTCCTCTTTTACTTGAGGTAAGATGTCTTCTCCTAGACTAAGCAAACAAGATTGTACCAACGTCCATAATGGTAATGTGCCAACTGGCAGAGTTCCTGGGCTTTCCATTTGTATCTGTTTTAATCTTCACCATGATGGTTCCATTGTGATATATTTAACAACCCCTCTTTAATGAACCATGGGCTACACCTTTGTATCGTCTTAACGTATGCCCTAACTGTTCTTGATTTTACTGAGATGCCTCCTTCCTCTAGCACTGTACTTATCGCCCTTTCGGTTTGATTCTTATTAATTTTTAATTCCATATTTCCGTGACGAAGATACCTCTCACTAAGATAATGCAAAAGAAAACCAAGAGAAAATGGAACAAAAATTCATTATATCAGCCTTTCTATCCTCCTGAAATGTCCATCCGTCCTTTCTCCCTATCTGTTCCTCAGACGCAAATAGTTTTTTCTCAGATGTGAGCGGTTTTTCTGCCGTCCCACCCATCTCCAGGGACAGGCAACTTAAAACAAAAGCAAAACAAAATGAAAGAAGAATCTTTAAATGGTTACCCATCTTCTCGAACTGCCCTCAGGGGCGAGCAATTTACCTTATCACTTACCCTCAGGTGTTCCCCATACGGGCCACCATATGGCGCACACTGGCTGGGCACAAATCACGAGCCACTTGCAGATTCAAGCAGGAACAAACTTTATTTTTAGAACCCACGCCATACGCCGCCCACACGAACTCTCCAGGAACTCCCCGAGAGCTCCACCAGAACTTCAGGAACTTTTTGAGCACTCAACCAGAACTCAACCCGCGAACTCCACCCACACGAACTCTCTAGGAACTCCGCAAGAGCCCAACCGGAACTCAACCAACCCGCGCGAACTCTCTAGGAACTCCACCAGAGCTCAAAAATAGCCGGCACCCAATGCAGCAGGATCCGCTCCTTCTGACAAAATGCCAGGCACCATCTTGACTGCGGCTCTCAACACTCACTGGAGAGCTTGTATTGGTGAGTGTTTTTTTTTCGGTGCCAGCACATTATTTGGAAATTAACATGCCTCTCTCTAAAGTTGTCTTTTGCTAAAATGGGAAATACACACTTTTAATTGTACAAAAGTTTGAATTTTCAAATCTTGAATTTTCAAGCAGGAATTGGTAGAATTCATACTAATTGGAAAAAAATTTCTGAAAGAAGAGATTTTGAGGAGGATAACTATAGGCGTAAGTATACTATTAGATTTAGTAATTATGTTGTTAGCACTGGGATTTTTATATCTTGTTTTCACACTTACTTAGGTGGGTTAAGGTAGTTAACTGTAGGCTTATGATTACCCTCCCGAGCAACTCCAAAACAAGCCAAGGTTATTGCTACTGCTGTGTTCACTGTTCGAGTTACTTCTTCTGGTGTCTTCCCAAGAGATGGGTTTACTTCCATTATATCCAGTCCTGAGAGTAGCCCTACAACAACAACAAAAAATGTGAATAATGTAATTTATAAAATTGTTATTTCAAAATCAGCATAGCCCAACTTCAAAAGTTACCTGGTAGTAAAGAGATAGTGACCCAACATAATATTCTTTAGTTATTGCATCAAGTGATGGGTGGGGCTGGGTTTTCAGATCAGGGAGCATAAACACATACTAGCCAAGTGTACACTTGCTTCTTTATTGTCTCAGGTTTTTACCTACCTGTTTTGTAAATTTCTTCTGTGATGTACAGACCTTCTCTGTAGGATAGACCCCCCATGACAGGTGTGCCAGTAGCAGGTGTGAAAGCAGGGTCCACTCCATCAACATCAAAACTCAGATGAATTGGCCTTTTCTTTCTTTTAAGAAGTGGGAAAGGATTTCAGTATTTCAGTTTAAAGTTGGTGGTTTAATATTTAGTAGACAACTGCAGTTCTTATTCTGCAAACCCAAAGGTTCTATAATTTTTATGCAAAGGCTTCATTAATAACTTACATCAGTTAGTATCATTAGCAAGTCTTATGTCATGCACACGAGAGCATCATACCTTCCTAGTAGATAGCTGAGTGCTTCTTCCATCACCTTGCCAATTCCCAACTTATCCACTTCAGTCATTGAAAAGTATTTAATACCCAGAGTTTTCACAATGTAGCTATCAGAGAAGAGATATTAAAATAATCTATAATTAATAAAGCTGACTCAATTCCCTCCTCTTCCCTGGTTTTTATTTTTTAAAAAAGAAAGATCACTGGTAAAGAGTATATAAAATATTTAAGTTCTGTGAACTGTATGCATGTAATTTTATTTTATTTTTAACAGCAAGTCAAGATATACATAGCCTGAATAGATATATGTGTGTGTAAATGTATATAGATACGTGTGTGTGTGTGTGTGTTTGTATATAGAGGTGTTCATTTGGGGCTGTAAACATCTAACACACAAAAGAAAAAATAAAGACAAATCACATCAAGGAATAAACTTACTGTTCCCCTGGATCCACGTCTCTCAAGCCAATATACACAATATCCTTGGCAGATATGCAGGGAGTCACCCAGGAGAATCCTGGTACATCAGGGATCTAAAGTGGCAATGTTTCCATTTAGTTAAATGTGTTTCTCTTGAGTAAATCCTACAGGTAATGTTGAGGACAGTTGTTGGATTATGTATATCTTAATGTTTAGAATATAAACTTAGAGGATATTATTTTTAAGATGAATAAACAGAATGCCTGCCTTACCATGTTAACACAGCATTTCCCTGTTCTATGCCCCAAGTCTGCTGGGTCCTGCTTCCTCAAAACTAAAGAAATGAATGTGCTTTCTTTACTTTAGTAGCTTCCTTCTTCTCTTTCTCGCTAAAGATCAAGTCCTCTGGATTAAGTCTAGAGTAGCTGAGGGGAATGTAGGACAAGACTCGTTGCTGCTCTCCATATCATAAGGTGATGACTGATAACCACTTTGTCCTGGAGCCAACCTTGGCTGTTCCCATATGTTAACTTGACATTTTGCAATTTTATAAACACATTTGTTGGTCCTCAGTTTAAAAAAAAAAAGTTACTTCTGAGCATTTAACAGTACAAGGTTTGAATCCCCTTGAATCGTCATTAGGACAAATATAATTATTATCAATAAAGATATTAATATACTATAACATCAATAAAAATTGTGAGCCACAATGTTAAATCTCAATTTAGAATTTTATCTTAAATCTTCTGGAAAAGAAGGTGCTTTCTACCATCAATATGAAGTGATAAATCATTGTAATCTGCATTGAAAACTTTTTCTTAAAGAGCTCTGATTTACAGGGGTCACTTCATAAGGAGGAGAGGTGGTGTGATGTGTAATGGGAAGAGATGGGAACCAGGAGACAGAGTTCTGCTCCTTCCCTCACAATATACTTGATGTGGTTTTGGAAAGTTGATGACCTCTGAACCTCTAAGGGGTAGTTTAAGAATCCAGAGAGAGGATGTTCTTCAGCATCTGTGGATTCCCCTAAACACAGATTGAAAATAGAGGTAGGCTTATGATGGTTTGGTCTATACTGAACATGTACAGACTTTTTCATTATCACCTAAACAAGAAAGAATAATATCTCTTTATATAACATTTATATTGTATTAGATATTGTAAGTAATCTAGAACTGATTTAAAGTATGTGCATAGGTTATATGCAAATACTAGGCCATTTTGTATAAGAGACTTGAGCATTTGAAGGTTTTGGTATCTGCTAAGTATCCTAGAACCAATGCCCCATAGATACAGAGAGACAATTGCCTATGGAGTCAGTTTGCAAACTATGAAGAAAAGTAAAGACAGAGAACATTACCCCCTTTATCAACCATTCTTTTGCTTATTAGCATAGAGAAAATGGTTTGCAATTATATCAATGTAAAATGGTTTAGGATGCTTCCTACTTGCCAAGATTATTTTGTAACGGAGTACCAACCAGTCTTTTACCTTTCCTTTCAGTTCCTTTAAGAGGAAAGACACAGGTTGTCCATGCAAGTTCCCAGTGGGGGTTGTCAGTGGAGTGTTGATATCCGTGTGAGCATCTACCCAGATGACTCCAAGGTCAGGATGGACCCTGGCATGGCCAGAGATGCTTCCAATTGCCAAACTTTGGAAGAGAAGAAAGTTTATATGAACTTCAAGTTGTCAATGTCATTACATACCTACATCATATCATTAGCTCACTTAATCTGCCTGCTAGGTTTTAAGTCCAAGTAGCTTTTTTTTTTTTTTTTTTTGGTTACCAGGGATTGAACTCAGGGGAACTTGACCACTGAGCCACATCCCCAGCCCTATTTTGTATTTTTATTTAGAGACAGGGTCTCACTGAGTTGCTTGGCACCTCACTTTTGCTGAAGCTGGCCTTGAACTCATGTTCCTCCTGTTTCAACCTCCCAAGCTGCTGGATTTACAAGCATGAGCCACCATGCCCAGCTCAAGTAGCTGTTTCTTACAGACTTTTAAATTAGATGCCAATTAAACAATTATGACAATAGAGAAGGTATAGCTTACACTTAATACTTACTAAAATGTTTAAGTTACACTGCTATCATTACTAAAATATTTTTAAGTCACCTTGTAATAAAATTGCATTATATAGTTTAACCAAAAAAATAAATAAATATGCATCAAACCCTAGCCACACAAGAGATTCCTTCAAATGAGATACTGCTCAATTCTTAGAGTTAAATCCAGCTCCATTTTGGCAGACACTTAATTCTCTGAAGTGAATTATGACAAAGTCAATTTTTCTTAAAATTTGACTCCTTCATAATAGGAAAGCATCACTCAATTCTTCCATACACTACAGTCATTGGTTCTCTCACTCTATTCTGTGCTCAGAGCCTCTGCTGTGTCTACAATCTTGCTGCACATTTGATGTCCCACTCTTGACTGAGTTGAGGCCCCTCAAATCCATCCCAAGTACTCTAAACTCCAAATATTTTGCCAGAATGGAAGATTTAAGTCGTGCCTTGCACAAAAGTTAAAAGATTTGAATTTACTATACAATGCCCAAGTTTCCAACTTGTGAACATATAGGCATCATTCAGAGAATCCAGAACTATCAGATTCTCAAAAGGAAAACAATCGTGCCTGATGTCCAGGTTGAGGTTCATTTTTTCTTTTAGGTTTCCTGACTTTTGGGCATTTTTTGCTCTTAAAATTTCCACTTACAATTTCTTCCACTTAAAAAAAGAAAATGTGCCCCACTCTTTCAATTATATATTTGTTAGAGAAGCACTGGTAACAGCTGGCTTTAAAAAACAAAGTTGAGAGTTGTGAATTCATTGACTCTCATATCAAAGCTCAAGAATGTGTCTACTTTTTGATGTCATTAGGCCTCTTCCAGTAATAGCATCCTTGAGAGCAAACATTTAAAAAAGCTCCATCCACAAAAATAATTGTCATACTGTATAATAGTCAAAATTTGAAAATAACCTGAATATCTGACACTACAAATGTAAATGGTGATGTAATTGCTGAAAAATTATACAGCAAAAAAAAAAATGATACTTATAGCTGGGTGTAGTGGCAAACACCTGTAATCCCAGTGGCTCAGGAGGCTGAGGCAGGAGGATCACAAATTAAAAGTCAGCCTCAGCAAAAGTGAGGCACTAAGCAACTCAGAGAGACCCTGTCTCTAAATAAAATACATAATAGGGCTGGGGATGTGGCTCAGTGGCCGAGTGCACCTGAGTTTAATACCTGATACAAAAAAAAAAAAAAAAGGTGCTTACATTTTTTTAAAAACTTGCTAACCAATTGAGTTCTAGGTATTATAAGTAATCAGGAAAAATTAGCTGACAACAAGCATCACTTATTTAGAAATAGAAGCCTGCACTATTTGGCTAAAATCCACTCCTGTTTTCTGCTGTAATTGATAAACATAAAGATATTGTGAGACTTTGCAAATTCATCTAAGTCTGTTTCTGTAATAAAGTAGGAACCGATAAAAATTGTTTTTAAGGCAAAAAATAGAGTGTTAAATATTGGTCAGTGTTTTTGCCGCCTGTGCCCCGCCCCCGGGGGGATAGCCACTACATAAGACCTGTGGTCTCCACCCAGCACCAAGCTGACTCTGTTGTTCTTCTGGACCTCTGACACCACATCTGCCAGCTGCTCGGTGGCTTTTCCCACAGACTTTGGATTCTTCACAATTTGAAAGGGGCTGTCGTTAGGAACATCAGCAAAGGGCAGGTCCCCATAGTCTTTCACATCACACTCTGCAATTAAAAGTTTCAAGTTACTAAATAAAAGCAGATTGCAAATCAGTTTGGTTACAAATGTATAAAATAAGTCTATTTTCAAAAGTATAAGCAAAGGCCAAAAGACTGTAAATGTGGTGAAGGTGGAAATCATGCCTGCTTTTGCCTGACATTGTCCTGTCGGCATCACCACCTCACTCTGGCACCAGCTGTATACCGAGCCCTCAATGAGCACTTATTGTAGCAATCCAGTTAGAGCAGACACTAAAAGAACAGTGGCAGTTTCTGGTTTGGACCTAGCAGGAGGCATCACTGTCCTTACCACTGTCCCTCTGTTTCTCTCTGCCTCTGTACTTTCTGTCTTGCTATAATAAGCATACTTTGTTTTTGTAATCAAGAAACGGTTAAAGCACCCCAAAGAGAGATTACACCAGCATTTTCTAAAATTTTTTTATTCTGTTGAGGTTTGTTTTTCTTTCAGGTTTCTTTTCTTTTGGTCATTTGCCATTCTGAAAATTTCTACTTACATTTTTTTTTCCATTTAATAAAGAAAGTTGAGCCCCAGGCTCTCAACGGTAGCTCTGTTACAGAGGCCCTGGTAACAGTGGCTTTCAAAGAGAAAACTGAGGTGTCCTGATCCAAACTGTCACCTGCTGAAGTAACTCAGCTTCCTCCTTGGTCCTCTAGGACCTGGCTCCTGATGGTGCTGTCAGAATCAAGTATGTGCTTATCCCCTAGCCTCTGTTTCAGCAAGTTTGGTATTTTTTTAATAGGAAAAAAATTGTAGGTAACTCAAAGTCCCTAAGGATCTGAGTGTGCTTCCTAAAAGGGCCTGAAAAAGGTTTCAAAACTAGAAAGCTTCCTGTAAAATTGTGTACTGGGATCAGTTCAGCCATTGTTCATTTATTATGTCTGGGTGTTAGTGATTCAGTAACACCTCCAAGAGGTATCATACATCTCAGATGAGATGTGACCAAATTAACCAAGTCCATTTACCCAAGCTTTCTATTCTCCTTCCCTCCCTTCCTTCCTTCCTAGATTTATGAGCTATAATTCTTAACTCACTAAAATTTGCTTATTTTTAAATGTACAGACTGATGAGTTTGGGAAATATCTATAATCTTGTAACTACCATCACAATTCATATGCAGAACATTTCCATCTCTCTTTTTTTGTTTGTTTATTTTGCTGCTGGGGATTGAACTCAGGGACACTCGACCACTGAGCCACATCCCCAGCTCTATTTTGTATTTTATTTAGAGACAGGGTCTCACTGAGTTGCTTAGTGCCTCGCCATAGCTGAGGCTGGCTTTGAACTCATGATCCTCCTGCCTCAGTCTCCTCAGCCGCTGCAATTACAGGCAAGCGCCACCATGCCAGGCTTTCATTCCTTTTATTCCTATCCCCACCCCCAGGAATCATTGATTAGCCTTCTATTGCTATACTTTTGTCTTTCTAGAATTTCCATCAATAGAAGCATACAGTATGTGGTCTTTTGTTGTCTCTTTCACATATCATGTTGTTTTTGAATGTACCTATGTTCCTGTCTGTCATTTTCATTTTCACTTCTCTTGGGAAAATATGTAAAACTGCTGGGTCAAAAGGTAAATGAATGTTTATTTAAGAAACTGTCCAACTGCTTTCCAAAGTGGCTGTATCATTTTGCATTCCTAGCAGAAATACATGAAGCTTTCAGTTGTTCCATGACCTCATTAACACTTCATCAGGGTTTTTCAAATATAAAGATAACATATACTTAAGCCTCAACTTTAACAAACATATAATTTTTCGTTTTCATACTTACACATATAAATGTGTGTGCATGCACATACCCACTATGTAAAACCTAGGTGCCCCTATTACTATTATTACTGTTTCTTTTTCTTTTTTTTTTCTTTCACAAATTGGGATCCTCTTTTGGTAGTCTCCTTCCTGAAACCTCTTGGTTTTTATTTAATTCTACTAGCTCCCATAGCATCCTCCCCAACCCCACAGTTCTTGCCACATAGGTTCTTCTGTACAGCACTTCAGCTGGGAAGACAAAACTTCTGAATGAGAAGTTCCACCAATAACGCTTACTGAGTGCTTTTCCCAAACCCTGCCTCTCTGGTACCATGTGGCTATACAGATGCATGGTTAGTCTGTAGTTCTGTGATATAAACATCCTTACAAACATTCTGTTTTCTCAGGAGTTCTCATTTCACTAGGAAGGAGATCGGGATGATCATCTTTCAACTTAAAAATTACCTTGTTCTTTAAGTTTCTCCAGCAGACCAGCATTTCTCAAGACTGTAGGGCCTTTTTCCACCCCTCCTCGTGGCTGAACAATTAAAAAATAAAGTATTTCAGTCATGATCATGACCATCCAATTCCCACAAGAACTTTTCATTACTTGAATCCTATCTATCAGTTTGTAAGATCCTATAGACCCTGGAATTTAAATCTTCTCGTTTAATCTTCACATCAAGGTAGATTGAATTACCCCCAAGCCAAATAGGAGGAACAGAATCCCATCATGAAGGTTATGAGGTTCTCCTGCTGGACCACAGTTAATGAGTGGCAGAGCTTCTATTTATATCCTGCTCTTAGGATTCCAATGCTGCAGCCCCTCTTCCCATCACAGCACTCTATCCACACAGCACAAAGCACCCTGATAGATGAAGATAGAATAATGAAAAGGAAAGGCCCCTGTTTCTGAGCCACTCATAAACCCAAAGAAAATGTGGGTGTTTAATATCAGTTACATGGGTAGTTGCGTCAACACAGATATGAGATGTCTTAGTAACAAAACAGTACTCCCAACTCTGCAAGAGGCAGGGTGGGTCAGTGATGGCTTTGTGGCCACATGATCTTTGAGCCAAGTCTTGCAACATGATGAGGTGGTCAGAAAAACATGACAGGGTTATGGAGAAATTTTGCAAATCAGGGGAACAGCTTGGGCAAAAGGCATTAGAAGGGAAAGAACGGGGTCTGGGCGAGACCAGCCTGCGTGCAGGTCCTCACAGCAGTACCTAGGGACTTTTGGGGTGGTGAATGCAGGCAACAGGAAAATCACCACCTGGGAGCTGAAATCATAAAGACCAGCCCAGAAATTTCAGGTTCTGACCTGTTTAAACAGTCATAAGAAACTACACCCATGCTGATTCCACACCTGGGAATGGACACGCCTCTCTTTTCCAGCATGTCCACCTCAAGTCCCCACTGATAGGGGTCCCAAGAAATCATTTTTTTTAAAAAATATCTTTCTGATTTTAATTTCCAACAGGACTTTTAGATACATCAAGTTAAATCTTTTTATCAGATGAGAAGACATGCCAAAAGAGACGTGTTTATCCTAGGATTGGGGCTGTGGCCCCAAAGTAAGCAAATATTTCTTCCCCAAATGACAGGTGGCCTGTCCAAGGTGCCAAGCAAATCCTTGTTGTCAAATTCCTGTCCCTGGCACACACTCTTCCTGACACATTTTGCTCCTTTACTTCAATCCTTTTGAAATTTTTTTTGTATTTTATTTTTGATAACATACAATATTTGGATAGATTTATGAGGTACAGGGTGACGTCTTGACAAGTGTATACATTGGGTAGTGATCAACTCCAGGTAATTAGCATATCCATCACCTTCAACTTTTATCATGTCACTAGAAAGAGCACACCCAAAATCTCTTCTAACTATTTTGAGATACATGGTACATTACTGTTTTCTACATTTACCCTGCCCTGCCTTATAGCATGGTAACTTGTTCCTCCTGTATAAGGTAACCTGATACCACCTGTGACCTGTACACCCTGACCAACTTCTTGGTCAAGGAGATGACTAACCGTTGACCAAGGAGATGGACTTTCTTCCTCTTTAACTCCCAATTAGGTGCTACTTGGTTCATATTCTGTCTTTAGTTTGGTATTTTTGTCTCTTCTCCTTTGTTCGATTTCAATCTAAACTTCTTTATTTTACGGCACTACATGTTGTCATGCAGGTTTGACAAACAGTAGATGGTCAAAAACAATTTGACAAAGCTCCCTGGCCTTTTTTTCTCCTTGCCCTTTCCAACATTAGAACAAATTTCATCTACCCCTTAGTTGACACTGTATGTGCTGTAAGGCTGTCATTAAACTTCTCAGAGTGACATCTTCTAGCCTTTGTTTTATTTGTTTGCTTCAAACTGCTTCTCGGGATGAATCTTTGCCTGTTGCTTGGTTCATCTGTCCACTTGGAAACTGCTTTTTAAGTTCCACTGCCTTTTTAAATGGAGCCCAGTCCCGAATGGACCACAAGTATCAGATCTACTATGGAATTGAGCTCTCTGGATAGGCATCAGTGCAAGTCAGGGGCATAGGCTTTGGAATGAAGCAGCCTTGTCTGGAATCACATAGTCAAGGCTGTGTAACCTTGAGCAAATTACCACACCTCTCTGAACATTATTAATTACTAGATAAAAATAATACCTACCTTATTGTTTCCTTGATGCCTTACAAGGGGCAAGGCAGAGAAAGGAGCTCTTTCTCAGACTTGACCTTCTATCATCTGCCCTCTAGTCTTCCCTTTTTGCCTTGTGTCAAATTTTTATCCGTTTTAAATAGGAACAAATGCTTATATGTTTGTCACCCCCCCCACACACACACACACACCTCCTTTATGGCTTAGTATAGAAAAATCTCTCTCTGTCCTGACAACAATGAGACAATAAGTTTCATTATCATGGCCATGTTTTAATGGGAGAAGAGCAGGGTGGGGGGGGATTACTAAGAATGGGAAATGCATTCAGTGGCACTTTGACACACTATACCTCAGAGGTTGTCATTGTCCCCAGAGGGGCTGTCCTCATCAGGGTTAGGCTTCTGCAGATGCTCCAGGGCCAGAACATGTTTGGACTCCTTCCCTCTCTCCCCCTTTCCTTCCATTTGCCTCCCTTCTTTCCTTCCTTTTTAAAAATGTTTCATTTGTTCTTTGGAGTCATTCAACAGTAGAGTGTATTTGGACATATCATACACACATGGAGTAGAGCTTCCTAGTCTTCTTGTTGTGCATGATGTGGAGTTTCTTTCCTACCTTTTTGTTGCTTTTTTCAATTCTTACTGTTACAAACTGTTTGAAAAATAGGTGAGGATATTGTGGATTTTAAAGGACACCCGTGTCGGCAGGACGTCCCTGTGCTCTAGGAGGCCTGTTTGGAGGGTTTCCAGGGCAAGGGAAGCAGTATTTACAGACAGTCCAAATGCAATTGGGGCCTCTAACCTCTGACCTCTCCCAATTTGTTTTGCAGTAAAAAGTCAGAGTGCACATCAAGATTTCAAAATTAAAAGGGGTGAAAGTCTTCTTAAATTTTTAGAAACTGGGAGGAGTCCATTAAAAAAAGAAAGAAAAAAAAAACCAAAAAACCTCAACCTTTGGAATTTCAACTCACATACTGTCCTGTTCGGTTTGACTTTTTAATTTTCCTCTTTAAGCCCAGACCATGTTGAAGTCTGGAAGGCATCCTGTCATCTCATTATAATTACCAATATGAATGTGTCCAGACAGGGAAAAGAACTGTTAATTTAAATGTTCATGATATATGTTGGTTCACACTTAGATAGCTCTAAGACAATCTGAAAATTTCATAAACCCTTAGTCCAGACAGTGTTTCCAACTTGCAGTATTTTCCCCCCACTCAGGAAGATACAGGACAGATTCTACCAGCCCATGGACCAACAGTTTCAAAGAATCATTAAACCATAAAGTAATATGAATTATTGACAAAGTTGCATAAAACACTATCATTTAGGTTATCCAAATTAAAACAATTCTGAAGATCACCACTGATTAAATTTTTCTACTCAACGAATTACATAACCGAACAAATGAGTCTTCTTAAACTCTCCTCTCCCTCTGGATCGTCAAGGAACATCACAAACACCAAAAATAACAAAAGCTAGACGAGACACTGCACTGAAGAAATAATCCATTTCAATGCAAAATAAAAATATTTTGGTTCAACATGAGTAAACGAGTAAACATTCAGTTTCAAACAAAATTGACTCTGAGATTGGGAGCCATAGGAGTAACTGGGTTTGAGACCATAATTATGTAATGTCTCGAAATGGTGAGAGGACTTTAAAATGTCCTTTCCTCAACCAGATTGTACAGAAAAACATAAGTAACCGGAAAGTGACACCTTACATGTTTTAAAGTCCCAAATTTCCAATAAAGTAAAGTTATTCAAAGCGGAGGCCTTATACTCACCTGTCCCTTTGAGAAAGGGGCTCCAATAACCCCTATGGATTTTGACTTGTAGCTCATGGTCCTTGATACTTCACTCTGCTGCACCGGTATTCTCAGGTTGCCATACACTGCAACACTCGAAGACAGAGGGCACATCTTTTTTGCCACTTATAATTGGGTTAAATGTGTTTACTTTATTCTAATGAGGACACCTGGCTCCACCTACTGAGCAGAAAGACAGAGTCAACAGGAAGGCTTGCACATTGTTCAAATGAACCCGATTGTTCTGAGCTCAGGTCTCCAATTAAGTGAGCATTATTTATGTTCCTTGTTCTTGTCTTTGTTAAAAAGCCACCCGGGTGACGTTAATCTTTCTTTAGGCAATTGAAAATTATATGTGGTTTCATAATTGCATAAGTAACCATGTCTATAACTGGGTAAACCTGTAGTGGCACCCCCTCCTCCACCAAATAATCTTAATTAAGCTTCTCCAGAGACCCTCACCATAATTGGTTTTATTAACAAAATATCAGCAAAAACGTCTGCAAAGAACTCCGTGTAGTTAGGACTTTCTATTTTTTGTTTCTCTGCCTGTTAAAAGCTAAGTTTGACAACAGACTTGATGATGTTATGCCTGTTTTTGTGGTAAAACCTCTGACTAATCTAAAAAAATGGGACAAAAAGCACTTTCTATGAACTCAAAAAATATAATACTGTTATGTAGACGCCTATAAAAATGTAAACTTCCACACTCATCTTCCCATTGGGTATAAAATTCAAAGAATTTCCAGGCAAAGCCAAAACAACTGTCAAAATCAGGGCCAGATGCAGAGCCAGAAGGTCTGGATGGAAGAACCACCTCACCTGGTCTAGGTTGAGACTAAACCAACGTGCCTACTACCATTTAGAGGGCCACTGGAAAAATAAATGCCCCCAACTGAAGGAAGACAAATGGGCTGCTGCTACTCCTTACCAGGATAAGAGAGGCCAAGTCATTCAAGGGCAATACCAGCCCTACAAACATGTCCCCCATGATGATCAATGCCACAGACACCACTGTGATGCCCCTGAGAAAGATTATGTGGGCTGGTAGCCATCGAAAATTATGATGAGGACTAGTATTGACCAGCCTGAATCCATGTGGGCCCAGGAACCTACAGTCCAAATGCTCATAGGGAGCCAAACTATGGACCTCATGGTGGACACTGGGGCCCACCATTCTATGGTGACCCAACCTGTAGTCCCACTTTCAAAAACACAGACTGCAATGTGGGAGCCTCTGGCTACAGGATCATCACCCTTTTCTATTGCCCTGGAGTTACAATTTAGCAGGCCATGAAGTGGTCCATGAGATCTTGTACATACCAGATGACCTGGTGCCATTGATGGTTTTGAGACCTGCTGAGAAACCTCTGAGCCCAGATAACTTTTGATGCAAAAGGTCAGGCAGTCCTATCATTGGGAAAACCTAAACCAAGTATTTTTAACCCTCACAATTCCTTGGGAAGAGGAGTGGTGCCTCTTTAGGCTAGTAGTACACCACAGCAGGGACCAGAGCTCCCTTTCCAAGTACCAGGAGTATGGGCAGAGGATGATCCACCTAGACTAGCCCAGACATTCCTCCAGTGGGGGTGGAATTGAAACCAGGAACCATACTGGTATGCCTAAGACAATATCATATTCCTCATAAGGCACAATTTGGAATTCAAAAACATTTGGACAGACTTTAGTAATATGGAATTCTCAGCCCTTGCCAATCACCATGGAATACATCTCTTTTACCTGTCCAGAAACCAGGGACTGATGGTTACCAGCCAGTTCAAGATTTCCATGCAAAAAATCACCTTACATACTTTGGTCCCTAATCTATACGCTCTTCTAAGTCGGCTCCTAGCTGATGCAGCTTATTTCACATTCTGAACCTTAAAGATGCCTTCTTCTGCATTTGACTGGCACCACAGAGTCAGCCCTCTTTGCCTTCCATTGGAAAGCCTCCAATGGGAACAAAGGTCAATGGACCTGGACTAGGCTACCACAAGGTTTCAAAAACTCACCAACCATCTTCAGGACGGTGCTGGCTTCTGATTTGAGAATCTTTCCTAATAATGACGTGGATGTTGACCTCTGATGTGGATACACATTACTCCAATATGTAGATGATCTGTTACTGGTCAGAGCAACCCAAAAAGACTGCATGAAGGGGTCATAACTGGTTCTCACTCTCCTATGTGAAACTGGCTACAAAGTCTAAAAGAAGAAAGCCCAAATCTGTCAAGCACCTTGGTTTCTATCTGACTCAGAGATAACTGCAACTTGGCCCCAAAAGGAAACAGACAAGACAGTCTTGCTCAATTCCAATCCCTTCCACCAGCTGCCAGATCTTGAGTGCTGAATTCTGTCAGATATGGATCACTAACTTTTCAGTTATGGCCAAACCCCTCAATGAGGCCACAAAAGGGGGAGAAGGGGATCCTCTAATGTGGAGACCAATACAAAATCAAATCAAATCAAAACAAAACAAAACAAAAAACTCCACTGAGGATCTTAAATGTGCACTCACCAGTACACGTGGACTAGGACTCATGGATCTCATAAAGCCTTTCTCCCTGTATGTCATACATGCTCTGGAACAGCTGTAGGAGTCCTAACTCAAATGCTGGGGAACTGACCCTGTCTTGTGGCCTACTTTCTAAATAGCTGGACTTTATCATTCTGGCCACCTTATCTATGGGCCCTTGCAGCCATGGTCCTCTGGTGTTGGAAGCTGATAAGCAGACTATGGGACAGGAACTGACACTCTAGCTTATACAGGATTTCTAGGGTTTGTTTGGTGTTATTAGTTTGGCTTTGTTAACTTACATTGTTTAACCTGTGCAGGTTAATAGACAAAACTGTTAGTCTATCATTTAGTTTGGTTTCCTTTGGTAATCTTGGGGGGCTCTACCCCACTCCTGCTCCAATAGTGGAAATGTTGTGAACCATGTGTCAAGTCAATCTATTATAAGCAAGGGGTGATAATATATATATATATATATAGGACCTGCCCACCACAGAAATGCTAGAATTGGATAACCGTTTGTCTCTGGAAAAGACCTAGGGATCCCCTTGTATGAAGATCTAGGGCCAAGGAAAAAGATCCATTGGAAATGAGTTGATCTAGGAGGTCAACAAATCTGGGGTAAGGAAGGCTGGCCATCCCAGAGGATTATTGCCACTATGGTCCTGCTACCTGGGTACAGGACAGCAGCTAGGGCTATAAAACTCTAGTTTATATGCTAAACTACAACTGTACTGGAAAATTATTTCTTATAAACTATACTGGAAGTTATTATTAACCAGACTGCCACAGTCTTTGAACTCTTAGCCACACAACAGACTCAGATGTAAGGAGCTATCTATAGAAACTCCTTGGCATTACATTATCAGCTGGCTACAGAGGAAGAACCAAGACTCAGCCCAAGGCACTGTGGCTCTCTGAACCACTGAGCTGAAAGATTAAACACTGGCAAAGTATCAGCTGTTTATCCCCATGTGCCCCTGAGTAGTTGTTTATCATTGTGCAAAAATATGGATTAAAAAGTAATATACTCTAAGGGATCCCTCAACTTTAAAATTGTATGATTGTAACTTTAAAGAAAAATCCACTGAGAAGAAGTAAACTTCTTTTTTTCTACTGAGGGAGAAAACATTGTGAAGTATTTAAATAACTTAAAGCAGAGATTTTGTCTGTGGTATTCCCAGTGCCTAGGACAGCAGTGATATACGATGACACTGAATACAGAGTTATTGAACAAATAAGTGAGGAAACCCAGGTCTCACAGACCACGTTGATAGGATTATTTGCCAAATAGATTTCCTAAGCTCTGTCTGTGGTTTTGCTTCTATCGTCTAAATATTTACCTGTGGTATTCTTGTATAGCCTAAATATTAACCTCTTGATGTTGACATTGCAAATGACTTTTCCTTATCTGTCAGGACTCTTGATAATTTTATATGTGTTTTCATTCAAAGTTCTTAATTTTAAAATAGATAGTTGAATAATCTCTCTCTAATGCCCTGGAGCTTTAGGAGTTTTAAATTCTACTCATTTACTTCTATATTTTTTCTATTTGCTTTAGAGTTTATCTTTCACATTTACTTCTTTAATCCATCAACATCCACCTTGATATATTGGGTAAATTCTCCAACTCTTATTTTCCCCTTTCTGGTCCATCAGTATCCTCAACACCACTGGAGAGTCTACCTCTATTGCCACTGATCTGAGTGCTGCCTCCATCACATACCAAGTTCCCTTTCATAAATGGGTCAGATGCTGAGCAGTTTTCTTCTGTGCCATTGATTTATTTATTTGTGGATGCACCAGGTCACAATGCTTTATTGTATGACCTTCTTTGTTTTTTTTTTCTTTACTCCTTTTTTACAATTGATTGATCTTCTATATCTCCAGTCTATATATTTAGAATAAACTGTTGAATTCCTTTCAAACAACCTGCTAGAATTTTTATTAACTTTATAGATTCACCCACAAAAATTTGCCATCTTCCAAATTTCATTGCCAGAATTTTTTCTTTGAAAGCTCCTTCCTATACCAAATTGAGATTGCCTTCCTGTCATTTGACCTATTAATCACACTTTATCCAAGTAAAACACACTATTTCTTGGCTGTCCTATATTTCTCAGGTTTCTATTGTTTAGGATGAGTATCCTCATATACCTCACCAGTTTCTTGAATTGCATAATTGCTATTCTCTTTAAGTCACCAACCTGACCACTCCTTTTAAAGCATCTTCTAGCTTCCCTGTGGGGCATTGAGAGCCCCAGGTGTACATCCAGATGTAAATGGAGTCATGTGGCTCATCCAACACAAATTTAGTAATGCCCACCTTTTCCAACAGCTGATAAAAATGTTAAATAGAGAAGTTTTTAGGCAAGAATGCTGTGTTATTCTTCTGGAAGCCTCCACCCAAAGTGGCACAGCTCCATCAATTAGTCATCACTCTATAGGCTTAGCTGTTCATGAATCCCTAACTCAACCACTCCATCTTGTCCACAAGGGTGGCATAAGGACACCTGTCAAGCATCTATAAAATTTCATTATACCTGTCTGCTACTTTTTATCATCTACCTGTATGACTACTATGAAAGGAACTGAACTGTCTCTAACAGGTCCCGTTCTTGGTG